AAGCTATGCCTCCAAAAATTACATGTTTTAAATAAATGGTCATTTTAGCATAACTGTATTTATTATAATCAATAATTAACACATTTTTAAAAATTAAATAAGTGTGTACCATGAGTAGCTAAATATCATGGTATGGAAATGGAATGGAAACTATTATAAAGGGAACTAAAGCATAACTCAGAAGTGTACTAAAGAGAGTCTACACATAAAACCAGTATTTGCCATTTATTAATGTACATCTTTTAATAAGAGCTCTTTTTAAAAGGGAGCTTCTAAAAGGTTTCTATTTTAACACAAAAAATTGAAAGTGTAATTCTTTTAATTCTATATGTATAATATGTCATACTAAGTAATATTTTAAGGTAAAGGTAACAACAGTCCTGTAAAATAATGCCTTTCCCATTGTAGTTTCTAATGCGTAACGCTGATGGGGTTATATTTCTCACTCACCATTACACTTACCTCCACATCTTGGAATTGGTCCACTCCACATTACTTTTCCATCCATGAGAATACATGTAATTGTTTCCGTTCCCTGGGTTTTAATAAATCCTTCTTCGCAAATAACAGAAATTGAACTTCCTAATTGAAAGTTGTCCCCAAACCGCCTTGCATTGATTGGTATTCCAGGATCAGGGCACTCATTATGTCCAAATGCTTTAGAACAACAAGCATACAAAAACACACCAGCAAGCGGCATTAGCAAGAGAAAGCCCTTTCTGTATTTTGGGTAAGAAACAGTGATGTTTAAAAAGGTTATGCTTTTTTCTAGAAAAGCCTTTTATTTATTGTTTGTTTTAAAATTTTGGAGGGTGTCCTCTGACCATACCTGTTTGCCTGTGATGTGTAATAGGTGTGATTGTTTTAAAATATGAATTGTACTCTAAGATTATAAAATTTCAAAATAGATTTTTTTCTGCCTATTTTTGGAGATCATGAGGCGATCTAAGACTGCTCATATTTTCAGTATACGCTGGTCAGAAATCCAATATGAATATAGAGCAGGTCAACTATGTCTTACTGGAAACTTTTCTTGGTATACTCTGTCAGGAATAGAGAGGCAGTCTCATTGTGAGAATTAAAGGGAAATGTTTCAATCTACCATGAAAGTTTTACAATTTCTTTATAATTTTACACGACATTTACTTTCTGCTAGTAAAAGGGAAGTGGGTTAACTCTTTTGCAATTACTGTGTTCTAGATACTATGATATGTTATCATCTCATTTAGCATTCAGTATAGCCTGATGAGGAAAATACTGCCAATGGCCAATGTTAGAAAAAGTTAAGTAGCTTGCCTCAAGTCATAGAAATAGGCCTTGATAAGATGAAAATTTAAATTTTTTCTCAACAACCTATTATGTCTTCAGTTGTCTCGTGTCTCTCAGAAGAATGTGAATTCTAGAGCTCAAGGCCACTATCTTATTCTACCTTGTTTCTCCCATGGTGTACATTTAGCCAAGTTACAGGAAATAGCAGAAGTATAATGACGATGTGTTTATTTGCATTTTTCATAGATTATAGATTACATGAGCCATCCAAATTTTCCTGTTTATTCATCTGAATGACCAATTATGTTTAATAATTTTTAAT